CCATGGGACTCCACTTGGAACTTTCTGCCATTTTGACACAGAGCCATTGCAGGCAACCCCCGCGTAGTGCTCTTAATTGGTTTCTGAAAAAACGAGTGTTAAGCGAAACACGCAGTAAGTGAAACCAAAGGTATTTGACGATCCAAGATGGCAACCACAAGTGTTTTTAATTACCCAAGATGGCAACTGCAAGTGTTATAACAAAACTCACGGAGCCCTAAATGAAATCAGGTATCAATCTGAAACGAGTGTTATAGCAAAATGGCGCTAAGAGGAACAGCGTTAAGCGGGGGGGTGCCTGTAATAAGCATCTTTTGCTTAGAGCTATTGAGACAGTTAGCTATCCACCTTGTAGTAGTTTGATCCAACCCACATTTCTCCAATTGTTTATGAGAGAGTCATGTGGGATCTTGTCAAAAACCTTGCTGAAGTCCAGATACAGAAAGAACAATATAGTAGCACGATCTTAACTCCTTTTCCGTATAAGTAGTTAATTTGCGTTCTGGTCTTTGAGGGTTTACAAGTCACTTACGCATTGCATAAAAAATGTCTTTCTGTATGAATGTTGATGTTTAAATGTCACCTGATAGGTCTACTAAATAACATTCATAACAAAGGAACCACCATTTCATTTACCCTTGTTTACTGGGGCTGTGCGAGTCTCCGGATGACTTTCTGTACCTACTACCTAGGAGGCTGATGAAGTGCAGTTCATAGGCCTAGCTCTGAAAAGTGGTTTGCATTGTAATTTGTTCCCTCTCAGGATCAGGGACCAATGATTCCCTGATGAAAGGCAGCTAGGAGGCGCCATAACTTCCAGCTAATGCATGCACACACAAAGTCCTGGCTGGGGAATGCCCAGACCTGTCATGTCTTTGACAGGCCTTACGCTTGCTGGTTCCTGGTTGCGACCTGCCGGACATCTGGCACTGACGCTTGCTGCTTGCTGGTTGCGACCTGCTGGATATCTGACACCCCAGGCACCACTGCACTTTTACCTGCGCTGCTACAGCCCCCTTTCCCCTCTACTCCGCACCCCAGCCCGTCCCTCACCCACTGATGCTTCCATTTCCATTTTTACTGACTGGCTTTCTTTTCTGCATAGCGTGCCAGGCCAGCCTCTGGCTTCTTTACTATTCCTTCCATCCAGGACCAAGTGCAGGTACTTCCTCAGCCTGACAAAGGGGTTTTCAACCCTAAAGCTTCCAAAGATACACTTTTTTAAGTACTCCTTTTTTCCCATAATACACAGATAAACATGAAAACACAAGATAAGCCATTATCACACACCATGAATAACATATGTCCAACACAACATCTTTACTTCTTGCTGTCAATTCCTTTATAAAACGACAGGCTCAGTGACAGTTCTGTGTGGGTACCTTTGATGCTGCTGCTGCTGCTGATACTGGTGTTGAGCCAGCTAAGTTATTGTACCTCGTCACGTAAAGCGGAGGACCGGGCGTGAGGCTGTAGGGGAGGAGGAGGCCTCAGTGGGGCACACTGCCGTGTTGTGCAGAGGCCCCAGTGCCAGGAAGGGTGCACCTTAACACACACACACACACACACACGCACACCACAAGTTTTGCCTGCCAGCAGCTTGGGGTGCAGGGCCCCAAACGACAGACTCCCCCAGTGAGACACACACAGCTGGCAGGCGGGCTTCATGGCTTGGCAGGGCCCAGCCCTCACTCAGGCCTGCTCTAGGACACACACAGCTGGCAGGCATTGTGGGCTCAGCAAGAGCCACCACCCCTGCAGTTTTCAGCCCGCTGCTCCTTAACACACAAAGGGTAATCTGTGTCATGAGTTTTGCCTGTCAGCAGCTTGGGGTGCAGTTCCCCCCAACCCCTGCACTGATCTTCTTGAAACTTGGCAAGCTTTGTGACCTCAGTAAGAGCTCCCACCTCCGCAGTTTGCACACCCCTGTGGTGTGACACACAGCCGTGACATGAATTTGGGGTATAGTTCCCCCCAAGCCCCTATACTGATCTTCTTGAAACTTGGCAAGCTTTGTGACCTCAGTAAGAGCTCCCACCTCCGCAGTTTGCACACCCCTGTGGTGTGACACACAGCCGTGACATGAATTTGGGGTATAGTTCCCCCCAAGCCCCTATACTGATCTTCTTGAAACTTGGCAGGCTACATGCTCTTAGCAGAGGCTACCATCTCTGCAAGTTTCATCCAAATCATACAAAAAACCCCAACGTTATAGATCTTCCATTGATTCCCCATTATACCCTATGACTGGATCTCCGAGGCAGATCCGAAGCTTCGGAGCTGCTTCAGCCGGATCGAGGCGGAAACCTGGTCCAGTGCACTGGATTCGATCGTGGCCACCCAAAGCGGCCGGATCCAAAGCCGGATTGAATCACTGCCGACTTGCACAGCCCTCTTGTTTATACATTGTAAGAAAGGCCAAATAAGACTCTTCCCTCTGTATCCCTTTTCTGTACTAAATGGTACCAGGCTGTTAATGGATGAAAGTCTTCTTATGCCTCAGATCACTTTGATTTAAGCACATGGGGCACATGCTTTCATTGCTTGGTCACTGGTGATATTTGGTTTTTTCTCTGAATGCTTATTGTTAATCTAGAAATCCAATGCTCTGTGAGACCAATGCTGTGAATATCAACCTATTATCCCTTCCAATATGCAGTATAACTATCTTGTATTAGAGAACAGCAGATTTAATTTACCAGTGTTATTCACTTAGGAATCAATGTTATTCACCACCAGTGTTGATTTGCCTAGTGTTGATTCACCTAGTAACATTAGGTCCTCTGAAAGTTTCTCACAGTGAACAGTGCACAAAATTAGATGCTGTATTTTTATGATAAGCACCAAAGAAATTTACATATACAATATTGGGACAGATGATACAGACATTACACAAAAAAATGCTTCTCTTTCCTTGTTCTTAACTACACATGTCAGGGACCTGGCCATTTGTTATTATGCACTTTACTTTACAAGCTTGTAAATGGGAAAGTTTCCATAATAGAGCTGTCGGTTTTAGATCTCTCCTGCAAACACTTACATGCCATGAATAGTGTCATAGAGGGTGAGCAATGAAATTTCAACAATTGCGAAGTGGGGGGAGATAGAGTAAACTGTATTCATGGGACTGGTTTTACGCCATCAGAAGTAAATTGGCAAACTCAGTGCTGCACCTATTTTTATTATAGTCTTAATTATTAAAATGCTTGTGTACTTGGTGATGTGCCCACCATAAGTGGCAGGAGGAAATATTATTTGGGGAGCTGGGAGTGTGGGGGTAGTGCAGGGGGCACTTGCTTGACCCCTTCCCCTCTCCCTCCTGCAGGGCTGTTGTGGAGGAGCACGTGGAGGTGGCGCTGGAGCAGCGTAGCCATGTTTGGCAGTGGTAACCTCTGTTAGCCCCAGCCTTCTACTGCCTATGGTACCCACAGATGGGGATTGGTAGAAAACTAGCTACAGGTTTCTATTAATTAAAATGATATAATACTGATAACTGATTTCCTTTTAAAGTTCATATGCCAATATTTAAGGACGACTTCTTTTTTTTTTTTTTTGCTTTTTGCTTTAAAGGACTCCTTTATAAAATAGTGTGCATACTGCACTGACAAAGTTTTAGAATTTTAATAGATTTCAGATTTGCATTTCAACCAGAAACAAAGCATGCATTTCATACAAATTTTCATTGGTGATTACATCAGTTCATTCATAGCTTAGTGCTAGCAGGACTCTGCACACCTAAGAAGCTGCATGGAAGCATATAATAATAGTAGAGAAAAAAGTACAAATGGTTACACAGTGAGAAAAATCCAGTTTAATCTGGTAGAAAATATGCATAAAATGGGAAGAGAGATAAGACGGAAAGTAGGAGCTAATACACATGGGGCTAAGAAAGTAGAGGAAAGATATTATTATCCATTCTAACAAAGAATCAGTGAAGTGATGTTCTGAAGTGACCAATGCTGCCTGGGAGGTTGGACATCCATAGTGATTTGTGGACCAGTACCAGGTTCCTTGTGTCTCTAAGTAACTAGGTAGCATCCATTCATGTTACCTAATGAAATCCAAGTCAGCCTAATCTTCTGCGTTGCTGAGCCATCGTTATTTCTAAACACTTTCCAGCGTGTTAATGAATAGACTTAGAATGATGTCTTTGTATTTTTGGTTAACTAACAAGACATTCACTAGACATTCAATAAGTGCTCACCAAATCCTATGTGAATCAAGTTATTACGTACTTATCTCCAAGTTGTACATCTGCCCACTTCAAAACGTAAACATTTGCTTGTTAGTCAAAAGCAAGTTGCAGCCAAAGCAACTGATGCATGTATACTTTTGTACCCAGCACCTGTACCTTATGAATCATTTGATTCTTCATTCCTATTTAAGTGTATGCAAATTATTTTGTGAACTGTATGTCTGCAAACTGTAGCAGGATCTTAGTATTTATTGTAGGAATTTTATTTATTACAGGTACTTTGAAAGACAAGTACTTTCCTTTTAAACTATTAAATCACTGACATAGCCTTTGTACTGCCATAAAATGTTTACAGCAGCACAAAACCCAAGCTAAGAGACACCAACGCCCTTTGTCACCCCACAAGTCTTTACATTTTTGGTTATGGCAATTTGTGGTAACAGTTGTGCTGCCTTTTTGTGGCTGATGTCTGTCAGTTTATGGAAGGAGAGAGCAGGCAACCCAGGAGAGGCACTCCTGAAGCTTTAGGGACCTGATCCTGTGAACCGCAGGAATCCCCCTACAGGAAGATTTCCAGGGCATGTGTTTCGCACTGCTGTGCCCCAGGCCAAGCACCTGAAGCCCTGGGAGAAGCAGATCCCTAACCTTATGGGAAAATGGTGACATTTGTTTTGGCTAATCAAATTAGTCGTTCTGGGATGCACGCTGGCACAGATGATGCCACAACAAAAATGTCTGGTTTTAGCCTGAGAATTTTAAAGAATAAGACAGAGCAACCTGAAGCGATGGTTTGTGGTCCTGTTTCTCACAGTAGTTGATGCTCATTTCTTCCTTTCAGTTTACTTCTCAAAAGGATCCCAGTAAGAACCAACACAGTTAGTGCCAAAAACAGAGTGGCAACAAAAAACGGGCTGTGGATATTCTGTGTTCCCAGAAGCACGTTGTTGTCTGAACCTGCAAATGAGAAATGCAGTTTATTTGACTTGGTGTCATACAGTTATTGTCAAAATACATGGGAAGGGCCAGTTGGATAGCATGTTGAGATTCATAGGTGAAAATATAACCACTCTTTAGGATAAGAGTAACCTGGCCAAATAAACGTGAAATAAATAGGCAATTGATTAATGTATGTTATATGAATAAATGTTATGTGCTAGTTTAATGTAAATCGCATTAGCTGTGAGAGTATCCTAGCTGGGAGTAATAGTCGGGAGGTTAATATCTTGTGGAAGGCATGGCACAAATAGCAATGCAAAAAGGTAAAGAACTTGACATATAGAAAAAAGAGACTTAAAAATGATATGTCAAAGTTATACCTAAAGTTATATGTAGCTGTTCATAAGATAAGTTACCCAGTTTGGTGTCCTCTGTTTTGCTTTGAAGTTGAACTGGCCCCACAATGACATCCATTTTTTTCTGATAGGAACTTGTATCCCTTTTGTGTCTAGCAAGACATCCCTGGTAGCATCGAGAAGAAAGATCATTTTTGCTGCATATAACCATCTGGCACTGCAAGTAAACTTCAGAATGTCTGTTCAGAAACTTGAAGGCATTAAATTTGAAACGAACAATGCTGCTGTTTGGTGAATAGTATGTGTTGTAGGTGGGATCTACTGGACAACTAACAAAAAGAAAAGACAAAACAGATCAAAATTTCTGCATGAACTGTAGAAAAGAAGCAATCAGAGTAATATTTCTGCAATGCAAATCGTGTTCTCTATCAGTAGTATAAAACAAAATGAAAGATGTTTTGAGCTTTATTTCTCATCTAAGACTAGAAGTCCTTACCCACTCTTGATTAAATCATAAGTCAGGTTTGTGAAGTCATCAGGATATGGAGATGCCACACACGTGTCTATAAATATCACCAGATTTGGATCAGAACTGTAGAGAGTTGCTTGAAGAAACAAATCCTGATTTAGGTCAACGTAATATGGCGAAGCAGAAACTTGTTTCAAGAAATATGACGACTCAAAAAATGAAATGTTCACGTCAAATTTGCCATACTGAGTTTCATTTATGTAAATAGTATCTTTGGCAACATATTTTATTTCTGACACTGTGTTCTCGTTCATTTTGCAGGTAATATGAAACACAAAGTCTTTTTCCCTCATGATAACATCACCAGACGATGATGCTGTGATTACATTGGAGTAGGTGATAGTGTTATTTATTCCTTGCTAAAATATAAAAGAGAATAAAGTAAAAGTTGGGCATGTATTTTGTCAATATATTATAGTTAACATAATTGATTTAAATAAAGATATCAAGTCAACTTCACTTAAAAAAAATCAATTTTCCAACTCATACCCTTTAAATATCATTTAACTATTTTAAATTTTTAGTTCTTTAAAAATATATCCCTAATTTTTTTGTTTCTCAGTTGATGTTTATGGTCTTTGCAAGGAAACAGTTATACACAAAGTAATATTTCATGCTGAAAAAATAGAGGTAAGTCATGTTTTACCCCATCAACATTTTTCAGATGAGTAATCTGGAATATCATTTAGGTGATATTAGGTATGACATATTAGGTATGACATTTTCTAACAAACAACATTTTCAAATTAATGCCATCCTTTTATTTGGTTGTGACAGAACAGAAAGTTCAAAAAATGGCTTAGTCAGTAGTAAAGTGGACAACTGAATCTGACTTTTTATTATCCTTTTCAAAATAGGTTTTCTCTTTTCAATGCCTCCTAGGTTCAAGGAGAACAGGAGGTTTGACTTCATGGTCAATACCAATTTTGTGGTTTAACATGCATTACAGCTGAGCACTGGTTTTGATTACTTTTCACGTTCTTCAGTAGGTTTATGAGATACAGAGCTCTACAGACTGACAGCTACTTTTACACAGTGATCTACCACCATGGTCCCTGAGAAGAACCACTTCTAGGAGTGAGAGTAGATTACTACCATCTTGGATTACTATTGACAGGTTGTCACCACAGTTCAAGAAGAACTGAAGAATGTATACAGCTTTCACAGAACGTAGTATTAAAAGTTTACCATTTCCTCCTAAAAAACGAAGGAACTGGATTCTCATTTTTACCAGGTTCCCCTTCCCCCCTGACACCAGCATCTGGGTGGATAGCAGCATTCATACTGGTGACCAAGATGTCAAAGGCTGTTGAACCATGCACATTTCCATGACCAAAAGTCGTCCATGATAAATAAAAAGTGACAGGATTTAATTTCCCTCTGATATAACAGATTTTTTAAAAATCTGGATCCAGTTAGGCACCAGTGATACAAAGCAAACAGACACACCAACTCAAATGAAGAAAGAACATTACTTCAACCTATACCCCTTACTTCATTTCAAACATTATTTGCTGTGGTGGGCCAGAATGATCTGTCTCAAGTCCAAGGCAGGCTGGTGCTAAGATCCAGCCATTCCTGTTTTTCCCTGTGAACCAGCTATGGCATGAGTGAAACCCAATACCACTTGGTGATAGAGTGGGTGAAGACTGCTCCTGATGAAAGTTGCTGACGCCCCATACCATTGAATACCACCAAAATCACAGCCACCTTTGGTCCTGAATTTGCCAACTCTCTTTGAATCTATTAAGGAAGGTTTCAAGAACACCAGTGTGTCCGCGACACACTGCACAAATGTGCCTATATACTTGTGTATATCAGTTATAGATTACAATGTGTAGACGTTACATCAGGAAGGCAAATGCACATTACTATTACATTTTGAAAACCCATTGGACTACTGTATAACTCAGATTCAACATTTAATATTTATTTTGATGAATGTCCTATCATTTATCTCTCAGGTGACTCTCAGCATTCTCCTGGAGATTTATATCTAATTCCTGGAGGCTCCAGGGCAATCCTAGAGGGTTGGTCCACAGGCTGGATTTAATGGCTTTGTAGGCCGGATCCAGTCCCTGGACCATAGGTTGCTGACCTCTAATTTAGAACATTTAGACATTATTTCCAAATCTGAAGTATAGTCTTCTGAGTTTTGATGAATCTAAAATATAATGATTTTTGTCCAAAGCTAATTTTAAATTACTTTGTCCAGTGAAAGATATCACTGTACACAGATATGACATATGAATAAAGAGAACCATTTTTTACCTCTTTCACTGTACCACATCCACCCAGTGGTATATTGAATATAATATAGTTTTCTGTAAACTGTGGCACACAGGAGGTGTCCTTCATATGAATATCCCATGCATAGTAGCCCAGTGATAGGAGATAGGTTCTGTTAATAACTGCATGCATATATTCTCCAGAACATGTCAATGCTAACAGAGAGAGAAGAAAAAATAAATTACTTTTAACGTTAGCACCAAACATTATTATAGGATTGGTTCATGACTTACAGCTTGATCCTGCGTTTGTTAAATAGGAAACTGTTCACTGAATTCAAAGGCACGCAATCAGGATTTTATAGGCCAATTACAATGGTTTAGGTAAGCCTACCTGTATCATTGTTGTTTTCTGGAACAGAGTAATAATAAGCACTGAATCCGCCCGCTGAGTAACCAGAAACACTTGAAAACAGAACAGTCATTGTATTTGAAGTTGATGTAAATGAGTAATCTGAGCCATCACAAATCTTCCCAAGTAGAGGTGATGTATATAGAGGACCATCATAGACTTCGATATAGTCATAGAGACAATTATTTGAATCACCTAGACTGTGGATTGAAATTATCATGTTACTATAAAATAGTGTCAAGGTTATACAACACTTTACATTTTCATAATGGTGAAATGGAGCTTTAGCTAAACCGCTCCCATTGATTTCAGTGGGAATCCAAACTCTTGAATAATGTACTCCCTTATTTGTATCATAGAGGACACTTCTGCCTGGTAGCAATACTTGGGATAAGCAAATGGTTTGATGAACTAATGCAAATCTGCAGTAAATTTCCCCTCCCAGATCTGCCATTATGATCTCTTTTGCATAATCACAGTAATGGAGACTCACAGAGAGAATTGGGGAAGGGTGCTTACACAGGTTAAAAAGGTATATGTAGATACTCTTACTTTCCAAGCCATCCCTTTTAAAAGTGACTTTGTTACTTTGGAAAGTATTGGACTGATAGCCATAGAGCCTAAAAGACCATAAACAGAAGTTATTTTAAAACAAGGGGTGCATCTACGCATGCTATTAGTGTGATGAAAATCTCTGGCTCAGGTTGCGACAGTCAGCTGCTTCTGGGCTCAGTGTTTACATGTGCTCCCTGGACCTCGGCACTGGGAGCCAGGGCGGAGCAGGCCTGGGCTGACATGAGGCCCAGGGGGTCAGGCCCAGGCTCAAGGTGATAGCATCAGGTGGCAGAGAGGCTGGCTGGGGCATGAGCCCTACAGCACAGAGCTAGGCAGCAGGCAGCCTCCACACTTTAGCACCCTCATGCCCCAGTCAGCCCCTGTCATCATCTACACATGTGTTTCAGCAGAGTGTATTACTCAGCCATAGGATAATACTGACAGTACTATCCTATGATGGAGTTAATTAATTTACTGAGCCCTAGTGCTGGCACATGTGTAGACTGTGATGCCTTACTGTCATAAATGGCATGTGCCCCCATCAGCTGGGGGAGCATGGCGGTGGTGGGAGCACAGTGGCAGTAAGCGGGGGATCTCTCACAGATGCTGCCAGTAAGCAGCAGGGGGGCGGGTGGCAATTGCCAACCAAGGGTTGGCTACGAGCCACAGCCACCAGCCGCGGCCAGCAG